TGCATAAAGAAATGAAAACCTTTGTAAAAAATGCTACTGCTCAAAGATGAAAGAAACTTCAAATAAAATATGACCAAACCTCAGCACAAAAAAATATAAACATAAAATAAGCATATATAATAAATGATACAAAAATTATAATAAAAGTTCAAAAGTCCTAAATAAAAATAAGTGATGTGTTCAAATCAGATAAAAGGTGCTTGAAAAATATTTTCCAATGTGCCCAAACCATCCGTGATTTCCAATCCAACCTGCACTCACCAGATGAAGTGAACTCCTAGCTGATAAGGCTCAATAGTCAAACAAGCTTATAGGTGGGGTGTAGTCTCCACAGACGCATCCTGCTCTGGAAATCTCTCTTAAACATCAAAATTTATACCAAGGACATTTTTAAAGTATTGCATGCACCTTTTTTTTCTGTGGAAACCGCAGGCACGGGCACGGCATAGATGTGAACCAGGCCTAAAAGAAATCCATCAAGCTCAAGCAGTGTTGTGTTTCACTATGGCTGCCTGTGTGGAAGATGTCATGTGTGCCAGTGCAAGTGCCAGTGCCACTGTGACCCTTACTCTCTATTTACAGAACAGCCACTGCCAAGTCAGGGTTTAGGAACAGCAAGGAGAGAAACACATACCTGGTCCCAGCCAGCAGAGCTCTGCTGACCATCTGCAGGCTCGCCTCTCAGTACTCCCGGACGCTCCCACTATCACCTCCTACCCCATGGTGTCCTGGGTATACATGCAGCAAGGCATGGGGTGGGGTAAGAGCGTCAGTGCAGCTCATGGCCCCACCAACTCCTTCCTTGCTGGGGATTCAAAAACAATAAACGCTGCCTGTCTTCTGGTGTCCTGTCCCAGCTGTCACCCGTGAACAGTGTGTGTTCCTGGCCGGTTGTTCTGTAGTGCCAACGGGGCCAACAATTTGCAGGTAGCATGGGTTCATGGGGCAGCTGCTTTGGGCCTCAAAACAATGATTGGGCCCTGGGCAGTTGCCCCTTTTGCCCTGCATTAAAGACGGCTCTGCTCTATGTGGGGAATGCCAGACAATGGTAAATTTTGCAGCGGCATGAAGATTAAAGCAAAGGAAGCTACAAAGCAGGCTTAAAGTGTTTCTAAAGGCTTAAGGTTTTTTTTTTTTTAACCTTCATGCGTTTTTTTTTTTTTAAGTGAACCATTAATATCACTGTAATTTGGTGTGCTGTCTCTATACTCACAGTGCTTTGGGAACCCTTTGTTCTGTATTAAATGTTTATTAAAGATCATATTAATGATCATATATAAACTAAAAAAAAAATGTGACCCACATTTCCCTTTAAAACACATCTAGGCAGAGCTAAATGAACAACATCTATACAGTATGTTTAATATGAAGAAAGCAGACCACATTCTTACCTGATTCTGTCCCATACCATGACATGGGTATAAGATAATTTTCTGTCCTGTGACTTCATGCTCACTAGGAGGATTGTAGTCAAAGCAGTGGTTGGCCATCCCTTTACTTTTGAGCTGCAGAAGAAAAGTCATATATAAAATTTACCATTACTAAAAGAAACGGCGACTAAAAAGTCTGCAAAAATCCAAAAAGTCAATTGGCACTATATACTGTATCTATGCTAAAAAGAAGGATGGTTTACCTAAATAGGTATAAGTAACAAAGGATAAAAACTTAAAAGTAAATAAAAGGTTATCAAGTAATGTTCTTACAAATTAACAGTTAACAGAGGCTTAGTGTCAATGTTTAAGATCAAAGCTCTCTAATGAAGAGTGCAAAATTTATGCCATTCTTGGTCTTTGCTCAGAGGAACAGCTATATAAACCTGCCATGACCCATAACTTTCATTCATGTTTATGTAATGCTTGTACTTTTTGAAATGAAGGTTGTCCCTGTCCCTTTCCTCTAGTCAGTCTCTTGATCTAGTCACGCCATCCTCTCACTATGACGTAGTCATCCTGAGCACAGGTCACTTGTATAGACAATGCAGAGACACGACATGCACGATTCATTTTGTTACGAATTGAAATTCGGACAAGATTTTCATGATTCAAATGTATTGGAATCTCTGAATCACAATAGTAACGAATTTGAATGAATCCAGAACAAATAAAATAACGAAAAACATTTGAATTCATTTGTTTCATTCGAATGACATGATGCGGTAGTTTGGGCCTTTTGTTAATGTTTGAATTATCCAGAATAATGTAACAACATAACAAATGATCCGAACTGATTAGGATCCAATGTTTTTATTCTAGTGAGCATAGCATGAATATTCAAATAAAATTCTTTTTGTATTGGGATTTAACTTGAGAGACCATTGGTTTACCACTTGTTAAACCAATGGTCTTATACCCCCTTCCTGCCCAGGTAAATTTTTAGCTTTCAGCGCAGTCACACTTTGAATGACAATTGCGCGGTCATGCAACATTGTACCCATATCAGATGTTTAGAATTTTTTCACACAAATAGAGCTTTCTTTTTGTGATATTTAATAGCCACTGGGGGTTTTATTTTTGCGCTATAAACAAAAAAAAAAAAGAGCAAAAAATGTGAAAGAAAAAGAAAAAAAAAGGTTTTCTTTGTTTCTATTATAAAATTTTGCAAACAGGTAATTTTTCTCCTTCACTGATGTGCATTGATGAGGCTGCACAGATAGGCAGCACTGATGAGGCGGCACAGATAGGCAGCACTGATGAGGCGGCACAGAAAGGCAGCACTGACGAGGCGGCACAGAAAGGCAGCACTGACGAGGTGGCACAGATAGGCAGCACTGACGAGGTGGCACAGAAAGGCAGCACGGACGAGGTGGCACAGAAAGGCAGCACGGACGAGGTGGCACAGAAAGGCAGCACGGACGAGGTGGCACAGAAAGGCAGCACGGACGAGGTGGCACAGAAAGGCAGCACGGACGAGGTGGCACAGAAAGGCAGCACGGACGAGGTGGCACAGAAAGGCAGCACGGACGAGGTGGCACAGAAAGGCAGCACGGACGAGGTGGCACAGAAAGGCAGCACGGACGAGGTGGCACAGAAAGGCAGCACGGACGAGGTGGCACAGAAAGGCAGCACGGACGAGGTGGCACAGAAAGGCAGCACGGACGAGGTGGCACAGAAAGGCAGCACGGACGAGGTGGCACAGAAAGGCAGCACGGACGAGGTGGCACAGAAAGGCAGCACGGACGAGGTGGCACAGAAAGGCAGCACGGACGAGGTGGCACAGAAAGGCAGCACGGACGAGGTGGCACAGAAAGGCAGCACGGACGAGGTGGCACAGAAAGGCAGCACGGACGAGGTGGCACAGAAAGGCAGCACGGACGAGGTGGCACAGAAAGGCGGCACTGATGCCGCACTGATAGGCGGTACTGATGGGCGGCACTGACTGGCAGCACTGCTGGGCACTGACTGGCAGCACTGCTGGGCAGCACTGAACGGGGGGCACAGCTTGGTAGAGGTGGTTGGCACTGCTTGGCACTGGTGGGTGGCACTGCTGGGCACTGATCATCTGTTTCTAACAATTGCCGGTTATCTGCAGTACTTCCTGTCATAGTGTGAGGAAAGTGCAGCCTATAACCGGCAACTGCATTTACCTGGTGATGTGCTGTGTCATTGGACACAGCGATCATGGAGATCGCCAGGGGTGCACAGGAGGGCGTGTTCTGGGAGGACGTCATACGATGCCCTTCCAGAACTGGACAACCGCGCTGTAGACGTCATTCAGCTATAGTGCGGTTGGCAAGTGGTAATTTGCATGTGTGCAGCCCAAGGAATTCCCAAAGTCATTTGGGAATGGGGAAATTAATTCAACCTAATCATATAATAAAAATATGGATTAATTTGTTTTATTTGGATGAGAGCGGCGCAGTAGTCCTGAACTCTTGGATAAACAGCCAATTCTTTTTGCATTAACATATTTCATTATTTTAAGAAATGCACTACATATGAAACAAAAACATACTGTAATAAATATAGGAAGGAATAAAAGTGAAATAAGATGAGGATTCCTACATATTGTGTTTGGGCTGAATGGAGGTGTATCCATCAGAATCTCAGAAATCATAACAGAATGAATGAATCTGAAATGAATTTAGTTCTATTAGTTTTGGATGTACGCGACTCCAGTCGATATTGTCCTATCAGCTCATTTCATTTTTCTTTGCAGGTTGGACTAGCAGGAATGACTAGACTAAGCTAGAGTGCATAAGTAATCTCCAAAAACAGTGAATTAACATCAAAACGAATACAGCCTATCTTCAGAAATAACAAAAGAATAACAGAACTTCCGAACATACAAATCGTTTCACAACAACAAATATAGTACTCTTCCGAAATAATGACAAGCACTCTAAAATGAATCACTATAACATAATGAATATGACAAATCAAAAATTATTTACTTAACGAATGAAACCGAAAGAAAACAAAAGGATTTTTTTCCGTCGTGCACATCACTAGCAGAAACTTCAATCAGTTTACAGTGAGAATTATAAGTAGGCTCCAGTGATAGTTACAGTTTAAAGAATATGTAAACCCAACATTTCATATTCCTGATACATGCCTGCTATACCGTGTACCTGTATGAAAAAGCATCATGTTCTTTGTATTGGTTCGTTTGTGTGAAATCCCTGGTGTTCCTGACAGTCCTTCTGCTTTCCTATTAAAAACTGACCACACTAGGCATTAAAGCACAGCAGTGCTGGAACTCCACCTGCTCTCCTCCAATGATCAGGCTTGTCCTGACACTACCCCCTCTACACAGCCATTCAATGAGAAGATTAGTATGATGCTGTTCCTCCTCCCTGAGCTCCTTATGCAGCTGATCAGAAAGTATGTGATTACTGGAAAAAAAAGGTATTTATAATATTTTTATATGCACACACAAATGTTTTGCTTTTCATTTCTATTTTAAAACAGAATAGGTTGTTTTACAAGGTAAGGGTTTACATATACTTTAAGAATGGTAATGAACCAAAAAGCACTATAACAATTTTGCAGATACAGTCACTTTTAGGTGGCTTTCCTGGTTTTAGGTTTATCAGAGATGGTTACCATTCCAAAATAGCCTGGCTTGTCCTCAGGTACATGGAGCTCAGGGTATATATTTTCCAAAAACCATTTGAAAGGTTTGCACTGCAGTCTCTCCCTGAGTTGCCTTCGCTCTGTCACATCTCCATAGGGCTCCTAAATAAATTGTAGATAATGTAGTAGAGTCAAAGATGATAAGTTTTGATACAATAAAAGTATGTAAAATACTGTAGGAAAACATTTCTAAGATTATCAAGCATTTCTCATCACTGCATGATTTTCATGTAGGACTGCTTGCAATTGGCAGAGATGCACCAGGGAAAGGGAGAGTAAACAGCAAAATGGAGGTTAGTATAATTCTGCCCATACATTGATAGTTGCTTTTTTATAGCCTTAGTTTTGGGGGTTAGATGGGGTTAAGATGATATTTTCTAGATTATGTTAAACCAAAACATTTTTTTTTACTAGTTTTATACTTTTCTTTTTTTTTTACTGCTATCCAGTGAGAGATATAACCTCACTTTCACCAGACATAAAATGACCACAATGACAGCATAGCATAGTGATAGGGAATCATATAACTACTCTACCAGAGAAAAACATTTTTTTTTCCCAGCCTGTATTGCTGTTGGAGAATCACCCCTCACTTTCTGTCTGGTAAAATCTGTCAGTAGGATGGGAAATAAGGGTAAATCTCTCTAACAGAGATCTTAACCTCTTGGCGCCGGCCGCACGCAAATGTGCGGCCTCCCAGCATCTGGACATTGACGCCGAGTGGCCACACATTTGCGTGCAATTAAGAAAAACATGTGCTGAGAGCGCACACCCTGCGCTTTTTCCCGGGACACGTGTCCGGTACTCTCGGAAAGGTCTCAATCTCCTCTTTCGATCGGGACCTTTCCCAGTGATGTGACCGCCGTGACGGTGAATCACGGTGGTCACATGACCCTAAAACTCCGTCTCGCCTCCCGGCTTTCAAAACACTTAAAGGGCCAAGTTTTCAAATTCACAGATTTGCATGACAGGCTAGATATGCGTTCCTATGGAGGTGGTTCACACAGATGCAATCCATACGCATTGCGTTTTGAATGCCATTACAGAAAGGATCCTGTGTGAGTTTTGTAGCGGTGCATTTCAGACTCGCAAGTGATGGAGTCAATGGTCTTTTTACATTAAAGTCAATGGAAGGCGTTTTTTCATTGAAGTTAATGGGAGGCATTGTGTGAACCCCAGAGCCAGGGTGCAATTTCTAGTCGCCATGATGACCTGGCACCTGGGATTTGTTGAGCCCTGCACTATCCTATACTCATTGTTGATCAGGAGGAAGGCAAAAAAGGAGTTTTAAAAAACCTTTTCCCACTCTAGTCAAAACTGGACATACTTTAAATGTTTGGATTGTGAGAAAGGGCAGTTAAGTGTTAAAAACTCATTTTAAGTATTAAGAACAAAGGTGGGTATTGGTAACTGATTTCAAAGGTTAGAGTAAGTGTTGGATTAGGTGCCAAGAACTAAATTTAGTTTGAAGTGTATGTTGCCCTAAATATTTTTTCTCCATCTATGTTCACGTGTATTTTATGAATCCATAGTCTTTATCCTTTTCATTTACTTCTTCCATCTCTACTTATGTGGTCTGTTTTCATCCTTTGCACAGTGTCCTGTACCTCTAAATGACCATCCAAACACACAGCATGCCTGAATTGAGTAGTTTGTTCAGCCACCACGCCCCCTGACCAATTACACCCTGCCTCTGGTGCATACCCCCTCCCAATCACAGCCTGTCTGCAGAACACTCCCTCTGCTCAAGTACAGCCTGCAACTTAACTCAGGCTGAACAGACTATTTAGGGCGGGAGGCAGCTGTGCAGTCATTTGACGGGAGCCAAGCATTGGTGCGGGCCGGTAGTCATTGTGATTGACTTTGGATCCACTTGAGGGGACTTGTTTTGTGGGGATTTAAATAAAGGACTTGTCAAAACCTGGTGGTGTGTTTTTATTTACTTTACACTTCTTTTTTGTGAATGAGTAGGGATACTATGTACCTCATACTCATTCACATGGGGGGGGCAGGGTCTGACTCCCAGATTCTGATAAGCCCTCTGTCCGCAGAACCCCCAAAACCACTGCCCAGGGATGTGGGAAAGAGGCCCTTGTCCTCATCAACATGGGGACAAGGTGTTTTGGTGCACTCATTGGTCCCCCTCCCTTTCCTGATTTGCCGTTGATAGCAGACAAGTCATGCTCATTAAGGTTGTGGCAGCCACCTGCTCCTTAACAACCACTTATTTACTGGTTGTTAAGAATACCAGCAGATGCAAGCTCCTTGACAACCAGCTAAAATAAAATATTTTCTTTAGCTATTGCATGCCTGGAATGCTTCCTATTTACCACGTGCATTTATTTATTTCCTTTAGTGAATTCATTTTAATGCAATTTTGTGAGTTATTGTTTTTGCTTTTTGTGGTAAATACTGCATAAAGGGATAGCGAATTTTCAGCATTGCATGCGGTACTTGGGAAAAACGTGTCAGATCACCTAAATATCGCATGCAATCGGCTTTAGTGAATTGAGCCCCAAGTGTATTCACACTGGTTTTCAATGCCAGGAATCTGGTCCTAAAAAATTACCAGCACTTACCCTTAAGGTGATTAAAAAAAACTGTATTAATATAACAATATTAGCCTTACAAAAGAAAGAACAGTAGCTTTAAAGTGATGAAAAGACAAGCCTTCAAAAAAGGTATAGTACCTGTTGGTTAAGCATGTTTTTCTTTGACACTTTTTAACATTTTGTTTAATAAGATCTATCTTACCAGCTGTGCATGAGGGTTTCGGTGGTAATAAAGTTCTTTATATTCATCCATCCAAACCTCTGCTGCTCGCACACTATTAGCCAAAGCTTTACTACGTGAGTATGGGGCTTGCCTGGGGAAAACATGTCCAACATGTGAACATGGGTGTACTTCAAGTGTTCCTCCACACTGCCAAATCTATCATTAGGAAGAAACAGTTTGTGAAAATTAGTACAATTCATAAGTACAGTGTGTGTGTGTAATTAATATATATATATATATATATATATATATATATATATATATATACACACACACACACACACACACACACACACACACACACATATATATATATATACACACACACACACACATATACAGTTGTGACCAAAATTATTCAACCCCCACTGAAATTGAGTGTTTTGGCCAGTTTGACATTGCTTTTGATCATTCAGTCATCTTGCTTACATTTACATTAAAGAGGCACTTGTAGGTCAGACAAATATATAACATAACAGTTATAATGAAATAACCACAAATGTCTTTTCTGTGCTCACAGCATTATCAGTTTTATTCAACCCCCAAGTGACATTCAATCTTAGTACTTAGTACAGCATCCTTTTACAGTTATAACAGCTTTTAAACGTGAAGCATAGCTTGACACAAGTGTCTTGCAGCGATCTACGGGTATCTTCGCCCATTCTTCATGGGCAAAGGCCTCCAGTTCAGTCACATTCTTAGGCTTGCGCACTGCAACTGCTTTCTTTAAGTCCCACCAGAGGTTCTCAATCGGATTTAAGTCTGGTGACTGCGATGGCCACTCCAAAATGTTCCAGCCTTTCCTCTGCAACCATGCTCTAGTGGACTTGGAGGTATGCTTGGGATCATTGTCCTGTTGAAAGGTCCAACGTCTCCCAAGCCTCAGGTGTGTGACGGACTGCATCACGTTTCCATCCAATATCTCCTGGTACTGAAGAGAATTCATGGTACCTTGCACACGCTGAAGCTTCCCTGTACCTGCAGAAGCAAAACAGCCCCAAAGCATGATTGACCCTCCACCATGCTTCACAGTAGGCAAGGTGTTCTTTTCATCATAGGCCTTGTTCTTCCTCCTCCAAACATAGCGTTGATCCATGGGCCCAAACAGTTCTAATTTTGTTTCATCAGTCCACAGAACACTATCCCACAACTTTTGTGGTTTGTCCACCATGGCTTTTGGCATACTGCAGTCGACTCTTCTTATTCTTTGGAGACAGCAAGGGGGTACGCCTGGGAGTTCTGGCACGGAGGCCTTCATTACGCAGTGTGCGTCTTATTGTCTGGGCTGAAACTTCTGTACCCACATCTGACAAATCTTTTCTCAGTTCCTCAGCAGTCACACGGGGACTTCTCTCCACTCTACGCTTCAGGTAGCGCACAGCAGTCGAAGTCAGCATCTTCTTTCTGCCACGACCAGGTAGCGTTTCAACAGTGCCCTTTGCCTTGAATTTGCGAATGATGCTTCCTAAGGTGTCTCTTGGTATGTTTTAACATCTTTGCAATCTTCTTATAGCCATTGCCCTTCCTGTGAAGAGAAATCACCTCTTCTCTTGTCTTCCTGGACCATTCTCTTGCCTTCACCATGTTTGTAACCACACCAGTAAATGTCTAGAAGGAGCTGAGTATCACAGTCATTTTAAAGCTGCCTAATTGGTGCTTATTATGCTTGATTGCTGCTCGGTGACATCCACAGGTGTTTTCAATACCTGATGGAAAGCACCTGTATGAACCTCTGTTCTTCAGAGTGGTAGTCTTTAAGGGGTTGAATAATTGTGGCAATGAAGAAACCACATAAGAACCATTTACTACTGTATTACATAAACAATTGATGTCATTTTAGTTGCATTTGGGTAGTTACAACGTCCTTGTAGGATTTGATTCTGAATACAATTCCAAATGTACACTATAGTCCCTAAACCCCTTTTACAGCATTGGGGGTTGAATAATTTTGGTCACATACACACACACACACGCATACATACATATACATACACACACGAATATATGTTATACAGAAACCATTATTTAACCACTTGCCCTCTAGAGCAGTGGTTCTCAACCTTTCTAATGCCGTGACCCTTTAATACAGTTCCTCATGTTGTGGTGACCCCCAACCATAAAATTATTTACCCAGTAATTATAATTCATGAGTGTCGTTTTACCTCCAATACTGCTGCTTTCAGTAGCTGCTTTCACACAGCAGCTGCTCTTTACACATCGGAAATATGTGTTTTCTGATGGTCTTAGGGGACCCCTGTGAAAGGGTCGTTCGACCCCCAAAGGGGTCGCGACCCACAGGTTGAAAACCACTGCTCTAGAGGATTTACCCCCCTTAATGACCAGGCCTTTTTTTGCTACTTGGCGCTGCACTAATTCAACTGATAATTGAGCGGTCATGCAATGCTGTACCCAAATTAAATTTACGGCCTTTTTTCCGCACAAATAGAGATTTTCTTTCGGTGGTATTTGATCACCTGTGTGCTTTTTATTTTTTGCACTAGAAACAAAAAAAGACTGAAAATTTTGAAGAAAAATAATTTTTTACTTTCGGCTTTAAAACAAATGTATAAAAGTTAGTTATACATTTAGGCCAAAATGTATTCTGCTACATGTTTTTGGTAAAAAAAATCCCAAAAAGTGTATATTGATTGCTTTGTGTGAAAGTTATAGCATCTACAAACTATGGTATAGATCAGCAATGGGCAAACTACGGCCCGGTGGACCTTTTAATCCGGCCCGCGGAGCGTGGCAAACATTGGCTGTCAGGATGTAGGCGGGGCAGCGTGACAAACTCCTCTCCTCTCACAGTCCGCCCTGAAGACCGGAACGGCGCGGGAACATGGCGAGAGGAATGTGCGGAGCAAAGGTAAGTGAATTGACACAATATGGGGAATGAATTACTATAGGGGGGATGAATTACTATATGGGGGATGAATTACTATATGGGGGATGAATTACTATGCTTACTATGGGGGAATATTACTATACTTACTATGGATGGCATGGTAGTGGCTGGGCCGGCCAGCAGCTAGTCCGGCCCCCGGGTCCAATATATGAACCCATTGCGGCCCTCAAGTCAAAAGGTTTGCCCACCCCTGGTATAGATACTGCAATTTACACCTTTTGCCATACAGCGCTGCACTAGTTTAACGGACAATTGCACGGTCATGGAAATAAATGAAATTTATGTCCTTTTCACACAAATAGAGCTTTCTTTTGGTGGTATTTGATCACCTGTGCACTTTTTATTTTTGGCGCTATAAACAAAAAAAGTTTTGATGACATTTTTTTTTTTTTTTTTTTTTAAACTATTTTCTCATTTCGGTCATAAAAAAAAAAACCAAAGAAACCTAAAATTTTGTCATAAATTTAGGCCAAAATGTATTCTGCTACATGTTTTTGGTTAAAAAAAAAAAAAATCCCAATAAGTGTATGTTGATTGCTTTGTGTGAAAGTTATAGCGTCTACAAACTATGGTATAGATCAGGGGTGGGCAAACTTTTTGACTTGAGGGCCGCAATGGGTTCATATATTGGACCCGGGGGCCGGACCAAGAGTAGATGAATGATGTGTATGTGTCATCCATAGTAAGTATACCGTATATACTCGAGTATAAGCCGAGTTTTTCAGCACATTTTTTGTGCTGAAAAACGGCCCCCTTGGCTTATACTCGAGTCAACGTCTGCAGGGGGCTGCTGTCTCTTACCTGGCTCCGGTCCCATGACGATCCGGTCCAGGAAGCGCGGCTGCTCCTTCATTCGGTTCGTCCACTGGATGTTCGCGCGGCTGCTCGGCTCCGCCTTCTCACCGGTGATTGGCCGCCAGAACTGTAGCTCAGGAAAAGCACACAGGCGGCCAATCACCGGCGAGGAGGTGGAGCTGAGCGGCCCCGCGAAAATCGAGTGAAGGAGATGCAGGTAAGTGTGCCGTGCTTAGGTGCTGCTGCAACCACATATGCTGGCTGCAGCAGCACCATACTGGAACAGGGGTCAGCAAGTGTCAGTGGGAGGAATAGTGCCCCATCATTGGTGTCACTGATACCAATGATGGGGCATTATTCCTCCCACTGACACCAACGATGGGGCACTTTTCCTCCCCCCCACTGACACCAACGATTGGGCACTATTCCCCCCCCCACTGACACCAATGATGGGGCACTATTCCACCCCCCACTGACACCAATCATGGAGCACTATTCCACCCCCCACTGACACCAATCATGGGATACTATTCCTCCCCCCCACTGACACTGATGGGGCACTTTTCCTCCCCCCCACTGACACTGATGGGGCACTTTTCCTCCCCCCCACTGACACCAACGATGGGGCACTATTCCTCCACCCCCCCACCCCACTGACACCACTGACACCAATGGGATACTATTCCTCCCACTGACACCAATGTTGGGACACTATTCCTCCCACTGACACCAATGATGGGACACTATTCCTCCCACTGACACCAAAGATGGGACACTATTCCACTGACACCAATAATGGGGTGCTATTCCCCCCACTGATACTAATAATGGGGCACTATTCCCGCCACTGATACCAATGATGGGGCACTATTCCTCCCACTGACACAATGATGGGGCACTATTCCTCCCACTGACACCAATGATGGGGCACTATTCCTCCCACTGACACCAATGATGGGGCACTATTCCTCCACTGACACCTGGGGCACTACCAATGATGGGGCACTATTCCTCCCACTGACACCAATGATGGGCACTATTCCTCCCACTGACACCAATGATGGGGCACTATTCCTCCCACTGATACCAATGATGGGGCACTATTCCTCCCACTGATACCAATGATGGGGCACTATTTCTCCCACTGATACCAATGATGGGGCACTATTCCTCCCACTGACACCAATGATGAGGCACGATTCTTCCCACTGGTGTTCCCACCCTCGGCTTATACTCGAGTCAATAGTTTTTCCCAGTTTTTTGTGGTAAAATTAGGTACCTCGGCTTATATTCGGGTCGGCTTATACTCGAGTATATACGATAGTAATATTCCCCCATAGTAAGCATAGTAATTAATCCCCCATAGTAATTCATCCCCCATATAGTAATTCATCCCCCATATTAATTCATCCCCATATAATTCATCCCATAGTACTATTCCCCCCCCCCCCCCCCC